TGAAATCTTCAATATATTTAAGTCATCATTTCCTTTAATACAATAGTAATTTACCTTGTAAGAATTTCTATATTTCTATGATATAAGTTAATATTTATTATTTGTKATGCATTTAAAAATGTAGTACATTATAAATAGTGACAATTATATTATTAATACAACTGTCTGTTTTATTTAGTTTATAAATGTTTTGATTTCAGAATTAATAATGCAGTCTCTTGTAAATACTCTGAAATTTTCGTATTCAAAAATCAACATACAACCAGTTCGTCATCGATATTGGAAAGATCAACAAGGCGCTCGACCATTAATTCGACGATATGGTTATAATGATGATAAAATTCTCCAGTCAGGGCTATTGCCACGATCGGCCGATGAAACAAAACGATTACCAATGCCCATATACAAGCCTAAAGATGTTTGGAATGAACGCAGAGCTCTTTTTGGACAAAATGATTACATTGATATTTTAGGAGATGATTCTGTGCATCCTGTCCGAGTACTATACAATGTGCCATCCTGGTTGAGAGGAGTAAAAGGCAATGAATTTCAAATATTATTAAGGAAGAGAAAGATGTTACAACATGGTGTATATCCAGTGGCCAGACCAACAAAGTGGAGTCAAATGCAAAAACGAATTAAATATTTGTATACTTTCTTGAATAGAAAAACTAGAACTGGAATGGAAAAATAATAACTTAATATGTTAAGAAAAAAAAAAAAATAAATAGTAATTAAAATGATTGGTATTTTGTATAAAGAGAGAAAAACTTAATAAATGTTGAACACTGAACAACAGTTATGAAATTATTAAAAATTGTGCATGTTATTAATTATTATCATTACATCTTTTGTCAAAAAATTGAAATGATTAAATTCAACTTGGAAGTTTATAATGAGGTTCCTCATTCATTATTGTTATTTGGAATTTTAAGTTATGGGTGTGCAGTGAAGTCTCAACATTTTTTTAAGAGTAACTGAATTTAGAATTTTGACAAAATCTCAAATCATATAGAGTTAGAACTTAGAACTACACAAAAAACATTCTATATATATTATTTATATCTMAGATTTGGTAATATAATATAAGATTCTTCATAAGTTTTCCAACATGAAAAATAGGTTTACCATATTTTTTGTCGGTACTTGAAACTTTTCAAGTATTTATTAATAATATTTATTATATGACGTTTTGAAGTCCAATTTTRTTGAAAAAATATATTTTAACTTATGGTGTAGCAGGTATATAAGCAATGATATCATAAAATATACTTGGTAATATAATCTGAATCTGAAAACATAAAAACATAGGCTTTCCCACCTATGTCCAATAGTTTTTATATTTTTTATCAATGAAATCGAAATTTTACATTCATTACAGGGACCAAATACTAGTCAAATTCTTGTACACTAGATAAAATTGAATTTTGGCATTTATGTGATCACCGTTTTGAAAATAGCGCCCTATGTCGCCTACCTTTTGATACGAGATTGAYAGTGAGTTCTGAGTAGTGACTAAATTTCTCTACGACTCTATTCATATTCTAATGTACATTGCATAATATCTACAGAAAAGCGTTACCCGCTAGCCAACTTAAAAAAAAAAAAATGTAAGCACCTATTCACCAAGTATATACTATATATTCAAGTTACTAATTGATATTTTTAATAAATAATAATCAATATTAATGCTATAGGTTAAGGACGTTAAGAGTTAAGACTACTATGCATTAGATAAACTATCGCCTGATATTCTATATGGACTATAAATAAACATGTTGATCGTGATTCRTCCGAKGTTTATACATCAACTTTCGTCTCTCAAAAAGTAAGAACGCTATCATATTATAACAAAACAGTTAAAGCGTTATACTATCGTTTATCAAAATTTATTTTACCAATTGGCAATTTTTAAATAGTAGCACATCGGCGGCAGCCAAGAACTGGCCAAACTCGCGCATGCGCGCCATGCGCTTTAAACTCTATACAGCTTTTCGCTGTGTATTTAACACGGCGGCGAGGAGCCGAGGAGTGTAAAGGTGACGTAATTCGGTCAAAGAAAACCAATCACCAACCATAAGAGAATTTTGATTGGTGTGAATCACAGAACAATGAATGGCTGTCGGTTGTAAGTTGAGAGAAGTACAAAATATTAATGAACAATACTACTATTTTGTCATTGGTTTAGTTTATGATAATAGCACTATCACAGTATCACTTTAAAATTTTTAATTGTTCAACTTTCAAAAGCAATTTCTATTGCCAATTATTAATTACTAATTAGCAGCTATTGACCAATTTGAATTATCGAGTCATGTAAGATTTATCCAAATATTATAAATATTACTATTTATTTGTTAATATTTATTATCTAGTTTATAGTTTAAATAACAGAAATTCATTAAATTGTGAATTGTGATTTATATTTAAAATTTAATTTATCTGAAATCATTTTAATTTATCTTTTTTCTATTTAGAAAAATGCTTGATGTTGATGGAAAAACTCATGAAATGTTGTTAGACAATTACATTTCAAATCTTAAAAGAAAGTATGTTTTATAACTTTAAAATTCAGTTTAGACTAATGAATTAGGTATAAGGGTATTGAATGTTCAAATTTTAATATTTATTAAAAATATTTCAGAAAGTGGGAAAATAACTATGTGATTGCGGAAAAAACTGTTCAGCTTTTTAGACATTTTATTGATACAATCCAGTGGTCAACAACTATGTACGTAATATTTACAATAATCAAAGTTATTTTTTGTYCTTAAATTATTGTTATGTGCAGTGGCATTGAAGGCCTAAAAATCTAGTAGGGTGAAAAATATTTAAAGAGGCCCAATATCTTAATATCAGAAAAAATGGTGTACCAATGGAGAAGAAAGTGGTCAATATGAAGCGAACCTATTCTAAATTTTCAAAATATGTCGGGCCATGGTCTTACCTTAACATAGGTTCTGACGCCACTGGTTATGTGCATTATGTGTAATCTGAATTATTTAATCCAACAAAATTCTTAGTACTAAAATATGGCATTTACATTTCTTATATACTTTAACAATGAATAAACAAAATATAAAAACAAACTTGTTTAGTGTTATAAACATTTGTAATCGTTAATATTATGTGTTAATGTCTTTTAGAGAATTATTAAACCAATTGAGAGAATACGGATTCAAAATCACATCAGCATTACCATTACAATTTATTGTTGGCAATATTATTAGACGAATACTAAATATTATTCGGGAAGAACACACTGCTGCTAGAAAAGTAAATTCAATTTATCAACATACTGCATTTTAGGCAAATATAATTAAGTAACTAATAAATTATAACAGAGTTCTGAAGAAGAAATTGATGTACAAGAATCATTACATAAAATAGTTACATCTGAAGATGATGTTGATGACTATAATAGTATTGTTCCTGAACTTAAGTTATCAATTTTTGAACATTTAGATGAATTTCAAATAGAGATAGAATCTAGGTATAAATGAAAAAAAAAATGTTTTTAACTTACATATTATAGTTTAATGTCTATGCAGTTTAAATCATTATATTAATTTTTTAAGTAATGAAGATATTTCTAAGCAAGCATTGGAACATATTCATTCAAATGAAATCATACTTACTGTTGGAAAATCATCTGAAGTTGAAATGTTTTTAAAAGAAGCTGCTAAAGATCGAACTTTTGAAGTATTCATAACAGAATGTTCTCCCTTAAATCATGTGAATTAAAATTTATTAAATAACTTAAATATGTTTTATTTGACTAAGAATGTTACTAGGGCAGACAATTAGCATTAAATCTCTCAAAACATAAAATTCAATCAACATTAATTCCAGACTCTACAATGTTTGGCATAATGTCTAGAGTAAACAAAGTTATAATTGGTGTTGATTCTGTTATGGCCAACGGAGGTCTCAGAACATTCAATGGTTGTCATGCTGTTGCTTTAGCTGCAGCTCATTATTCTGTTCCGGTAAAAGTATTTTATTTTTTAGTTTGTTTAATTAATTATTTCTACTTAATTAGGTGAATTGGTTTTTTAGGTTATAGTATTAGCACCAATGTATAAGCTGAGTTCACGCTACTTATGTTCTTATAACCAGGATGCATTCAATGAATTTGTTTCACCAGATGGTGTTCTTAATTATTCAGATTCAGTAGTATCAAAAGTTGATGTTTATAACCCTACRTACGATTATGTCCCTCCTGAAAATGTCACTCTATTTATTTCAAATAAGTAAATTCATATCATAATTGCTTTTAATATTATTTCCAAAACATTTTTAATTTTTTGTTCTTTTATTTTTAGTGGTGGCCATTCTCCTTCATATGTCTACCGATTACTATCTGAAATATATCATCCACTTGATTACGATTTATCTGTTCACAACAAATAAAATATTACTCAATGGGACCTATGTTACTGTTGAGATATATTTACAATTAATTTTGTGCATTTTTATTTTCATAAAAAACTTATACATCATAAGTGAATAACATTTTATTTTACTCTTAAATTAATTTATACTAATAATATCACAAAAAAAAAAAAAACATAACTTTTCAATTGATTTACCAAAACAAAAGCCAAATAATTTGGTTTAAATAAGAGATCAAAATTCTTTTGAACTTGCAGTACCTAGAACAATAAACTAATTGTAATAAATAATAGGGTAAATTGATTTTCCATAACTACCAAATGAATATATTTTTAAAGTTTTGTTATGTTGAACACTTGGTCTTCATGATTAGGATAAGATCATTTTTAATTAAAAATTCAAGGTTGTCATTTTACAATTTAAGACCACAAAGTTCTTAAAAAGAATACCTACTCTCTTTAACATCTTGACTGACTTTTACAGCAGTATTAAGAATTAATACTAATTTTCTTTGACCTTTGAAAGTGGATGTTCAAAGCTTCCAAAAATATCAGAATGATTGTACTAACTTCTATCGCAACATGTCGCTGATGAAAGATAGATGAAYCGGGTAAGTACATTTTCTGAACAAAGAACATTGGAAGATTGAGTACTTTTTGAGAAGATTGAGTTAGATTAATTAAGTAAAAATTGCATGCCTAATACTTAAACTACAATAGGTTCATGATTATAAAAATAAAACACAAATTTTAATGCATGAATGTATTATAATTGTAATAACATAAATTGAATTACATGTTGTTGTTTCCGTTATTCATATTCAAGGTAAATTCCATACTTGCATTAAAAACCTGAAAAAATAAACACTTTAAATTTGAATGAGAGGAATATTTTAAATTGATGCTCAAGTAAATTTATCATTTAAGTCTATGGTATTATGGAGGGTACAAAATATGAGTAACCACTTCATATTTTTAATAAGGGAATTAGCACTAAAAACTCTTAACTCGGCAGTTAGATATTAATGTATAAAATAAAATTTTAAAATTAAGTATGCTTCATATTCACGTTAATGTTGATAAGTTAGAATTATTGGAAAAGAAAGATTAAGGGCAATGAGTACATAAAAAGCCTCTTGAACAAATATAATGTGTGTTAAGCAATCTTTTTAAAAATATTTTACTTTACAATAATTTAAGACAAGCATCTTGCATTTTTTTWWAAATAACATTAAACAATGTTTAAGCCGTAAGGTATATAAACTGCACATCATACATCATGTTTATAGTATATTTGGCACATTAATTTAAAATATATTGAAGAAAAGTATTACAAACTTCTACGAACTCACTCCAACAATATTTACTACTGAAGGACGTTGATTTCTACAACTCAGCATATAATCACTAGTTCTTTCCAATATCATCAAATTCGGAGCTCAGGTTTTAAGGATTAAGCAGTAGATTGTTAAATGCATTTCTTTCATCTTTGATAAGATCATAATAAAAATTATTAAATGAATAGAAAATGCTTACATTATCGAAGTCTTCTTGCTTCTCTTTCGGATTCAAGGAGTGTAAGTATATCACCTTCACGCACGGGACCTTTTACGTTTCTAATGATTTGACGATTTTGTTCACCAATAAACTCAACTTTAACTTGCGTACATTGACCTTGCGACCCTGTTCGGCCCAAAACCTTCAAAACTCTCGATAATACTACTGGTTTATCCATTTTTTATGTCCTATTACCAAACATTTTACACAATAATTATAAAGTACAAATTATGTAACAAAAARGAACTTACCACCGGCTGACAAACAGATCAGAAATATTTGTAATTTCAACTAATTTGAGAATATTTCAGATAAAACCAAAAATCGAATTCAAAATTGAAAATACAGGCTGATAGAATGATAACCTCAAAAGATCAAAATCGCACGGAACCGAAAATGATTTGATTCAATAAACTATGGTTAAGGTATAAAACATATATGGTTTGACTTGGGTTGTTCAGTGTAGCCGTTTGATAAATACTACTATTTTGATTCTGTACGAGGCAATAAATGTAGCTACTGGTTGTACCACTGAATAAAATTAAGTGAAATGAAAATGTTTCATTATTTTTGGTCAGGTTTTTCAATCAAATATTATTGTGATATTGTACTTTTGCGTTGAATGGCTTGAGCCATGAGGCAGGCCGCACTGGCCGTCCCCGAGCCCCCGAACGTTAGAGAAAGGACGTCGCATCTCGTATGGCCAATAGATATTTAGCTATTTAACATCAAAGGGTGAAAAAATATGGCGCAAACTTCGAATTTATCGCATCCATTAGAATGCGTTCAGGACGGACATAATATACTGTTATGATGTCTCTTTATATGTACAAAATAGAACTTTTTCTACTCATAAGAAGAAATGTTTCTACTATCAATTATTAAATTATAGAATAAGAAATTATTTCTTATGCTATGACGCTATGTAGTATGTATGAAGCCAGTGTTTTCAGACACTAGAAATTTCACTAAAAAGAATTTCAATGGTTTATGGCAGAGGTTCCCAAACTTGTTATAGTACGACACATTTTGGAAATTTTTTAAATTCTTGGCTGCCCACAATAATATCAATGGCCTTTTTATTTTAAATATGCTCATGAATAAATTTTCTTATTTTAACCATTGATACAGATATTGTTTCTGTTTCTTCAGTTTCTGCAGAACTTTAAGTCATTGACTTTTTGTTTAACCACTGGTCCAGTTATTACATAAAAGCAAACACAAAAAAGAAAAAAAAACGAATTTGTTAGTTATTTGTTAAAAAATAAGTTTTAAACTGTGTGCGTGTATCGTTTTAATGAAAATAATCAATTGATTTTAATGTCAAAAGTCAAATGGGTACTAATTTGTTTCAAATAAATTGCCATCTTTTCAATAACTTTTAATCTGATTTCTTCGTTTTTAAACAGCTACAGTAAATATTTAAGTATCACAAACGCAGATAATGATTTATGATGACACTAGAGTTAAACATCAATGAAAAGTAATAAAAACAAATGTCTAAAATAAGGATTACTTAAAAATTTAATTTGACCCACAGTTTGGAACCTCTTGTTTATAGATTTTTTTAGCCATTTAAGCATGCATACTAAAAAAAAAACGAAGCAAAAAATAAAAACAAAATTGATTATTTATTTTACCATATTTTTAATTTAAAATACAAAAATTAATACAATACAGATATAATATTTTATTTAATCCCATTTACAGTAGATAATAGTATTTTAGTTCAAGAATAATTTTAAGTAATCATTAGTCAATTGAACAATAAACAATGAAGATGTTGCTTTTCACTAATAAATAATAATAAAGAACTTGATTTGAATAATACTTAATTTTT